GGTCAGAATAGAACCCTATTTCTTTTGGAGATGATCGCTTAATATTTAGGGGTTGAAATGGACCAAAAACTGAAAAATTTCCTGATTTTGCAGTTGCTCTACAGGTCGCAATTATGGACCAATCAAAGCGAAAGTTAGCATGGGGCTAGAGCTTAGGGGTGGCTAGAAGTCTTCCAATTTTGATGGTCATCGGGTAATATTTAGTGGGTGAATTAGACCATTACATTTGTGTTAAATAAAATTCAAATTTCCCATTAAACCGCGAATATTTTTAATCCCGACGAAATCAAAAATGGACGAACAGGTCAATTCTGACCGTTACGTTGATGCCGATAGTAAATATATGGAATATATATAGCAAAATATAAATCATGTGTTTATACAAAGGAAGGGGATGTTAGCTAGAATGTTTATATCTCAAGAATGGCTGAACCGATTTAGACAAATTTTGTCAATTCAGAATGCCCTCGTGGCATAAAAGAATAAGATCAAAAAAAAAATCGCATAAAAAGATGTCAATAATGATGTTAATATAAATTTTTTCGTATTTTGTGACATATTTTTATTTTTTCATATTTTTTTATCGCATGCGATTTTTTCAATTTGACTTAAAATATTGAGGTGTACATTTTGTAATATTTTTTCACCTTACAACACAGGTTGGGGTTATTATACACAGATTGCAATTACCGGCCAATCCTCACGGAAATTTTCATAAGAGCAGGGTTAGGCTCAAAAGGGCTAGGCCTATTGGTTTCAAAGATGTCCGCAATATATTTGGGGGTTGAAATGGACTAACAACTAACAATTTTCCTGATTTTGCAGCCGTTATAAAGGTCACAAATAGAAACCAAAGGACACGAAATGGGGCCTCTTGCTTTTGGAGGTATCTTGCTTTTGGACATGATTGCAAAATATTTAGGGGTTCAAATTAACCCAAAAACAGAAAAGAAATTCCTAATCACACAATTGAAGCCAATCGACACGCCTGAGAAGAGAGTTAAGGACAGGGAAGGATTCTAGCATTTTGGATGGAAAAGGGACCACAACAACTAACAGTATGACGAAGTGCTTAAATATTGCGCAAATGTCCCTCGTCAATGTCTCGTGACATAATTTCAAAAGCGAAATCTTCCAAAATCGATCTGGATATAAGGGGGCTTCTAACATATTGTAGTGTTGTAGGATATCACATGGTCGGTCCCGCACGACTATAGCCTTTGCTTACTTGTTTATTTTGCCTTACACAGCCGTAATATGCACTCCTGGCAGAAAATGTATTAAATTTGTTAAAAATCGATTTATATATAGCTATGGGTCCCATATATATGTTTTATTCCATTTTGTATTTAAATCTCTCGTATTTAAATAAAATGCATTCGTCCTTTCTTAGAACGACAAATCCATCAATGTCCCGGAAGTCTACATAGGCTTTTTGGGGGGGAAGGCTTATATGCCTTTTTCTATGAAGATCTTCCTTTCTCACCAAATACCTGTTTAATCGTCTTAATTTTTTTTACTTAAAAGTTTTCTTGCAAATTTTGAGTTCGACTTATGTACAAAGCCCCGGTGCCATAACCAATCTTTCTGATGGACCCTCGCATGGGAAATTTTTAACCGAAAATAGCACCACATTGAACATAGATAAACATGGGCGATTTCTGTGTTGCCTAGGAGACAATTGTATTAACGGCAACTAATGGATTGATTACTTTGCAAATGATTGGATCGATTAGCGCCATATATGGTAAAGAAGGCAAGGCGAGACAGTGCCAAAAATGTTTTTTTCTTCTTTAACTCGAGCCAATCAAGTATTAATTCACACGTTCATAATGACAATAAGCGCGACGACATCGCCAATTGGTGGGTGTGTTTTTTTGTTGACAACCAAAGAAAAAAATCAAGTAAAAAGCTGTTAGTTCGGCCGGGCCGAAATTTGAATACCCTCCACCATTTGGAAAGAATTTGGCAATTTAAAAAAAAAAATAAAATCCGTTAAAAATTCTGTTAAAATCTTCAAAATACCAAAATACCAGGCAACTTTTATCATAATATTCAAATGCGAAACTTGAAAAAAAAACTCGGCGAATAATGTAGCTAAAATCATCAAAATACCGGATATAAGTACCAACCTAAACATTATAAGAAGGGCTCTGCCAAAACTTGGATCTGCACAGACAATTTTCTGTCATAGGCTGTAGTATACATGAGGAACTTCAAATACCAAATTTGAAACAATTCCAGTGAATAATGTCGCTAAAATCAATAAAATACCGAATATCCGGAGGTGCCGTTATATAGGGGCTATACGAAGACGTGGACCTGCACTGACAGTTTTCTGTCTTAGGCTGTAGTATCCATTACGAACTTCAACTACCAAATTTGAAACAATTCCGAATATCGGGAGGTACTGTTATATGGGGGCTATACATATACGTAAACCTGCATAGATAATTTTCTGTCACAAGCTGTAGTATCCGTTACGAACTTCAAATAGCAAATTTGAATCGATTCCGGTTATTAATGTCACTAAAATAATCAAAATACCGAATATCGGGAGGTACTGTTATATGAGGGCTATACGAAGACGTGGACCTCCACTGGCAATTTTCTACCACAAGCTGTAGTATCCGTTACGAACTTCAAATACCAAATTTAAAACGATTCCGGTGAATAATGTCACAAAGATCATCAAAATACCGAATATCAAGAGGTACTGTTATATGGCGGCTATACCAAAACGTGGACCGATATATCTTATTTTCAGTACCAACCAATTTTGAGGCGCTACGTCAATTAATGTGGGCTGTATCGTGATTTCAACAGACAGACAGATAGACGGACAGACAGACATCGTTAAATCGACTTAGAATTTTATGTTGATCATGAACATATATACTTTATGGGGTCTACGACGAATATTTATGGATGTTACAAACGGAATGACAAAGTAAATGTACCCTCCTTTTTAAGGTGGAGGGTATAGACATCTAACAAACAGAAGAAAAAAAAAGAAATCAATCTTACAATTTTTTTTTAGAAATCATTTCACCAATGCAGACCTTGAATAAAATAATTCCCATGCAAATAGAACAAACAAACACACACTTAATTCGCTTTCAGCTCCTGGTGTTTTCGCCGGCGGGCTATGCTACAATTCGTGTGAGGTATCTTAAATTTTGCCATGCATCACTTCATCGGGGGCGAAGTCTGGCAAAGGAATTCATGCCATTTTTATACCCTACAACACTATGTGTTGGGGGTATTATAAGTTTGATTGGGCCAAAAATTATGTAACACCTCGAAATATTGATTTCCCACTTAGGAAAGTATATATGGATCTTCCTATCTCCCCGAGCTGAGTCGATCTAGCTATGTATGTCCGTCCGTCCGTCTGTCCGTCTGTCCGTCTGTCCGTCTGTCCATGTTAATTTGTAATCACTCTACAGGTCGCAATTATGGTCCGATCCTTACGAAATTGAAAATGGAGGTGGGGTTAAGGTCAGAATAGAACCCTATTTCTTTTGGAGATGATCGCTTAATATTTAGGGGTTGAAATGGACCAAAAACTGAAAAATTTCCTGATTTTGCAGTTGCTCTACAGGTCGCAATTATGGACCAATCAAAGCGAAAGTTAGCATGGGGCTAGAGCTTAGGGGTGGCTAGAAGTCTTCCAATTTTGATGGTCATCGGGTAATATTTAGTGGGTGAATTAGACCATTACATTTGTGTTAAATAAAATTCAAATTTCCCATTAAACCGCGAATATTTTTAATCCCGACGAAATCAAAAATGGACGAACAGGTCAATTCTGACCGTTACGTTGATGCCGATAGTAAATATATGGAATATATATAGCAAAATATAAATCATGTGTTTATACAAAGGAAGGGGATGTTAGCTAGAATGTTTATATCTCAAGAATGGCTGAACCGATTTAGACAAATTTTGTCAATTCAGAATGCCCTCGTGGCATAAAAGAATAAGATCAAAAAAAAAATCGCATAAAAAGATGTCAATAATGATGTTAATATAAATTTTTTCGTATTTTGTGACATATTTTTATTTTTTCATATTTTTTTATCGCATGCGATTTTTTCAATTTGACTTAAAATATTGAGGTGTACATTTTGTAATATTTTTTCACCTTACAACACAGGTTGGGGTTATTATACACAGATTGCAATTACCGGCCAATCCTCACGGAAATTTTCATAAGAGCAGGGTTAGGCTCAAAAGGGCTAGGCCTATTGGTTTCAAAGATGTCCGCAATATATTTGGGGGTTGAAATGGACTAACAACTAACAATTTTCCTGATTTTGCAGCCGTTATAAAGGTCACAAATAGAAACCAAAGGACACGAAATGGGGCCTCTTGCTTTTGGAGGTATCTTGCTTTTGGACATGATTGCAAAATATTTAGGGGTTCAAATTAACCCAAAAACAGAAAAGAAATTCCTAATCACACAATTGAAGCCAATCGACACGCCTGAGAAGAGAGTTAAGGACAGGGAAGGATTCTAGCATTTTGGATGGAAAAGGGACCACAACAACTAACAGTATGACGAAGTGCTTAAATATTGCGCAAATGTCCCTCGTCAATGTCTCGTGACATAATTTCAAAAGCGAAATCTTCCAAAATCGATCTGGATATAAGGGGGCTTCTAACATATTGCAGTGTTGTAGGATATCACATGGTCGGTCCCGCACGACTATAGCCTTTGCTTACTTGTTTTGTTTCGAATTGGCATGAATAATATTTGAAGAAACAAGTGTCCAGCCGCGTACATTGATCCATGTTTGTTTACCCACTCGGCCAATGGAAAATATTTATTCCTGATTATCACTTCATTAGGGTCTAAGTACATTGCCGTGTGACACATATACATGTGTCGCCAAGCTTGGTCTTTGTTGATCCCAATTCACACATTGCCAATTGGGGTGTAATCGAGCATAGTTTCCACGAATTAGAGTTGGCCCAAAGAGTTTTCATTCAAAAGTCCGCATCTCAAATCAATCAGAAGCGTTTCGCGTCTTCAAGTGAAAGGAAGTGTGACAAAAGTAACTCTCGAGTGAAGTGAAGTGGAAAAAAATAAATTTTCGAATATAAATAGCGAAAAAAAAATCATGGGACAAACAAGTGTGGAGCAATTGCCGAGCAGAACATTTGGAATAAGACATTTGCAATGTTTGCTGCTGGCCTTGGGCCTTTCGATGGGCTATGCCCAGCGCGTCAATATGTCGGTGGCCATTGTGGAGATGACTGACAATGACAAGCAGGAAGGTGTTGAGGTATGTGGAGTAAAGAATTCAAACTTCTCGACATGTTTCTAATTAATTCCCCTTTTAGGTATTCCAATGGTCGGAACAGGAAAAATCCATGGTCCAAAGTAGCTTCTTTTGGGGCTATGTTGTTACTCAAATTCCTGCCGGCTATTTGTGCCGTCTCTGGGGTGCCAAGTGTTTATTCCTTTGGGGGCTTATTATTAGTTCCACATTGGGACTTTTAACCCCATATCTGGTGTCGGTTGGCGATTGGCAATTGCTTGTGGCGGTACGTGTAATTCAAGGCCTATCTCAGGGTGTTATGTTCCCCTGTACCCACAGCGTACTTTCGAAATGGGCCCCGCCCGGAGAGAGAGCCACTTTGTGTGGCCTATCCTATGCTGGTACATTTTTGGGTGCCGTTGTAGCATTTGGCAGCAGTGGCTGGATTATATCCTATCTACATGGATGGCCCAGTATTTTCTATGTCTCTGGAGTTTTGGGTTTCGTCTGGTGTTTCATTTGGCATGTTTGGGGTGCCAACACACCACACAGCTACAAGAAGATCTCTTCGCAAGAGAAGCTAATGATTCTCAAGTCGCTGGATCAACCCACCCAGAATACAGAAATCCGCAGTGAAGCTGACGAAAAAACGCCGATACGTGAAATGGCTAAATCTTTGCCCTGCTGGGCTTTACTGGTCGATAATTGTGCCCACAATTGGGGTTTCTGGACCCTGCTGACGCAATTGCCCTCATACATGAAGTACATCCTCAACATGAACATTCAAAGTAATGCCCTATTTTCTGCCCTGCCCTATCTAATCATGCTGCTGCTGACCTTCCTTTTTGGCTATTTGGCCGATTTGCTGCACAAACGTCAATTGGCAACGACAAATGTCAGTCGCAAGCTATTCAACACCCTTGGCCAATGGTTGCCCGCAGTTTCCCTGGTGGCATTGGGCTACTGTAATTCCAGCCATTTAACGTTGGCCATAGCATTTGTTGTTTTATCAGTGGGCCTCAACTCGTCCTCGTTTTTAGGTTTCCAAGTAAATCACATGGACTTGACGCCGAACTTTGCTTCGGTTCTTATGGGTATTACGAACAGTACGGCAAATGTCATGAGTATCCTGGCTCCCTTGACAGTGGGTTTTGTGGTGACCGATGTGGTAAGACAACTTTTTCATAGAATCCAAAATAAAGTTGAAATATTAATTCCTCTTCCCCCCTTAGACCGATCCCCTCCAATGGCGCATTGTTTTCTTCATTTCCGCTGGATTTTATTTCATCGGCAATTTAGGCTTCATATTATTTGGCCAAACAAAGGTCCAAACATGGAATAACCCCTCACCGAAACCCCTGGAAATGCAACTGATGGAGCCCAGCAAAGATGCCAAAAGCAGAGAAACTGAAAAATAATTTCGATTCTCATTTTTAGACAAATTTATTTAAAATGTTATTTTAAATCAATTTTTGTATATAAGTTTTAATTTTTAGAAAATAGGTTTGTAAAATATTCTACTGGCTTGTTAAAAAAATGTTGTTGTTTTTGTCACAACAACAAACTCTGAAGGGCATATGAGTCAATCAAAGACATCGAATCCCATGATTTGTATAATAAATTTCACCAAAAAGGCAGCGCTGGTTCCGCTGTCTGATACAAGAAAGTTTTTTGTTACAGAACACTCGAGGTGTTCACATTAACTAAGAGAAAGCTTGGCGAATAGTGGAGTAATCTGAAACTATGGATTTGAAAGAATATTTTAACTAAGCCAGAAGAATATTTGACAATATAATTGACACTTTCTGCAAATAAAAGATTAAAAACAATTAAATAAGGCTACCGTTGGAACAGTGGGAGTAACGTGGACCTGCATAGACAACCTTCGCCATAAACCATTATAATGTTCAAATGGGAAACTTGAATAAAAAATTCGGTGAACATGTAGCTAAAATCATCAAAAGTTCGAAAATAGGGAGGTACCGTTATATTGGGGCTATACGAAGACTTGAACCTGCACAGAAAATTTTCTGTCATAGGCTGTAGTATCCATTACGAACTTCAAACCCCAAATTTTAAACATTTCCGATGAATAATGTCGCTTAAATCACCAAAATACCCAAAAAATGAGGTAACGTTATGTGGGGGCTATACCAAAACGTGGAACTACATCACCATTTTCAATACCAAAAGTCCTGCAGACAAAATACATATTGAATAAATTTTTATAAACCTACCTCAATTCCTTCGGAAGCTAGAGTGATTTCCACGGACAGACGGACGGACATCGCTAAGTCGACATTGAGTTTTATGCTGATCAAGAATATGTTTACTTTGTGTGGTCTAAAATATATATATCGAGGTGTTACAAACGGAATGACAAACTTAATATACCCTCCATACTATGGTGGATGTTATAACAAGTAAAAAAACAACTAAGTACGGCCGGGCCGAACCTTTTAAAACCCTCCACCAATTTTTCAAAAAAAAAAAAAAAAAAAAAAAAAAAAACCGAAATATACCGCTTAAATGTTAACCTTTATATGAGGGGCTATACGAAGTCGTGGTGCTGGATAAATTATTTTTGCCGTAAGTTTTAATTACCCATTAGGACCTTCGAATACGAAATGCTGTATATCAGGGGGTACCGTTAATTGGGTGATATACTAAAACGTGGACCTATATAGACAATTCTCTTCAGGGGGCTAGAGGGAACTCCTTGCGCGGATTTTCAGACTGTTCCATTTAATATTTGGCTACAATTATCAAAATACCGAATATCGAGAGGAACCGTTATATAAGGGATATATGACCTATGTAGAGAATTCTCTTCCAGGGTGTAAATTACTTAGAAAGAAATTCTGGTCTGGATTTTGAGACAATTTCATTTAACATTTTGGCTACAATTATCAAAATACCGAATATCGATAGGAACCATTATAGGGGGATATACGATATCGAGGACCTATATAAAGACAATTTTCTTTCAGGGGGTAAAGTGCTTAGAAGGAATTTCTGGTCTGAATTTTAAGACAATTCCAAAACAATGTGGCTAAAATCATCCGAATATCGAATATCGGGATATACCGTTTTTGGGGGATATACGATATCATGGACCGATATAGCCCATATTCGACCCTGACCTGCCTGCAGACAAAAGACAGATTGTTGCAAAATTGTAGCTTCCTATCTTTATTCGTTTTGACTATACCGTGATTGCAAATGACGGACAGAGCTAAGTTGTTATGTCGATGAAATTTGATAATTTCGATGTTCTGTATGAAATATGTTGAAAAGTATGTATAACGCATATAAGGGGCATAAAACTCCGATTCGGATGAATTATATATATATATATATATATATATATACCATACACCACAAAGTAGTAAGGATATAATGTCTTTGCGCATTTGTTTGTAACATGGAGGAGAAAGCGGGACAGTCTGATAGTTACTCTTAAGGATCTTCATAGAAGTACTTTCAGAGTCTATAAGCTAATTAATGACATTTAGTTAAAATCGGTTAAGATAAGGTTCTATATATATATATATCTATATCTATAAAAGAGGAAAATGTTTGTATGTTTGTTTGTTTGTTTGTTTGTTTGTAATTTATGGACTCGAAAACCGCTGAATAGATTTTCCTGAAAATTCCCATATATACTGCAACATCGTCTGAAAGTAACATAGGCTATATACATTTTTGAATTTCCACTTGGAACTGGAGATATAGCATCAGAATCGGAGGTACCTCCCAAAAATTTAGATTTTGTATGCACATATCTATTGATTGGTTGAAGATACAGTCTCCAAATTTGGAATACGTAACGGAATTTGGAACAAAAATAAGTTTGCCAAATTATATTGTAATCGGTTCAGATTTAGATATAGCTCCCATATATATTTTCGACCGATTTCGTTCATTTGATGCCTCAAACACAATATGAATGTTCGCTTCCAATGAAATTTGGAATATGTGACGGGATTTGATCCGAAAATAAATTTGTCAAATTATATTGAAATCGGTTCAGATTTGGATATAGCTCCTATATATATTTTCGGCCGATTTCAAGCATTTGATGCACCAAACACGCTATGTATCCCCAATTTCAATGACATTTGAAACGTGTGATAGATTTTATCTAAAAAATTGATTTCCCAAATTATATTGAAATCGGTTCAGATTTGGATATAGCTCCCATATATATTTTCGACCGATTTCATGTATTTTATGCACCAAACACGCTATGCATCTCTAATTTCAATGAAATTTGGAATGTGTAGCGAAAATTAAAACAAATATACATTTGTCAAATTATATTAAAATCGGTTCAAATTTGGATATAGCTCTCATATATATTTTCGACCGATTTCATGTATTTTATGCACCATACACGATATGTATGTTCGATTCCAAAGAAATTTGGAATATGTAACGGGATTTTGATTAGATAATAAATTAGTCAAATTATATTAAAATCGGTTTAGATTTGGATATAGCTCCCATATATATTTTCCGCCGATTTCACATATTTGATGCACAAAACACGATACGTATTTCCGATTCCAATGAAATTCAGAATGTGTGGCGGAATTTGGTTACAATAATAAATTTGACAAATTAATTGGAAATTAGTTAAGAGTTTGGTGTAAAAGAAAATTTTTTAAAATTATATTTAAATCGGATCAGATTGGGATATGATTTTAATAAGAACCATTTACCCACAACGCCTTAGGCTAACACTAAAAAACAACACAACAATTAATTTGAAATACGCTTATTACGGGGAATTATGATGCTACATCGAATTCACTAATTGCAATATGAATGCCATTCAACTTCAAAAAATTGCAGTTTTCTGCACGCTTGGTACTTGCTATGAAATAAATTAATCCAAAGGACAAACCCTTCGAATATGCACTGCTTTTTTAACGACTTTGTTAATTAACACATTAAAGTAGTGCAATATTTTTTTTTAATTAAGTAAATAAAGTAAATAAAATTTTGAATGCATATAAAATCAAAAGGGGTAGCGACGCGCACCGGGTTCAGCTAGTATATATATATATATATATATATATATATATATATAATGAATTAATTAATTAATTTGCTTATAGACTCTGAAAGTAATTCTATGAAGATCCTTAAGAGTAAATATCAGACTATCCCGCTTTCTCCTCCATGTTACAAACAAATGCGCAAAGATATAATATCCTTACTACTTTGTGGTGTAGGGTATAAAAGAAAAGTTGAAAAACACCGAATATAGGCTTCGGGAATCCGTATAGCCACCATATGGCAGTACCTATATGGGGGCTATATGGATACCTGGGCCTACATGCGCAATTTTCTGTCGCAGGCAGTACTACCCATTACGAAGTGAAAATTACGAAATTAGAAACAATTCCGGTAAATAATATCGCAAAAATTATCAAACTACTGAATATAGGGAGACACTGTTGACCAATTTATGATTTTAAGTCCCTCACATGCGTCATATGCACTCCGCAACAAAGAGTGCCTAAAGTTTTGGCAAGATCGGTTCAGATTTGGAGATAGCACCCATGTATATCTTGATCAGATTTCAGGTCTATTGTGCACCAAAAGACTAATATCAGCCCACTAAATTGAATTTTGCTATTTCCGAGGGAACTCAGCCCAAAAGTAAACACAATTTGGTGAAAATTTGTTCAAATATTTTTATAGCACCAATAAACAGGGTGCGATAAAAAAACTGCAAAAAAGTAAAACGCCATATTTTTTACATTTTTTTTTTTAAATTTTCTGAATGAAAGCAAAAAATGTCGGAAATAGCATCACATTTTAGAACAAGTTTAGATTAGTTCGAATTGGTCATCTTTGGCACGAATTGTGGCCTTCAAACGACCAATGAAACCGTCACACGCTGCCTGAATGTTGCTCTGCGGTATTTTGGCCCGTTCCCGGCGAAGCGCTTGCTTGAGGTAATCGACACTTTCGTATTTTTTTGTGCCAACCTTGCTTTTCAAAATACTCCATACACAATAGTCCAACGGATTGGTATCCGGAGATTTTTGTGGCCATTGTGCGCTGGAAATGCAAGGAATCTCATTTTGTAACCATTCCTGGGTGGCGCGCGCTGAGTGCAGTGATGATGCTGAGTCTTATTGGAATGTTCAAGATCTGCGGCCAAAATTTTTGCATGCCCAAGGCTTTAATACAACCTCCAGAATATTTTCGCGATAATACTTGGCATTTATTCTGATGGTACGTCGATTAATACGAACGGAAAGCGACCATCGGCTATTATGGCGGCCCACACCATCACCATGGGCGGCGCTAGAGTTCTGGTGGCCAACCGAAGGTGAACATTTTCAGCTGACCTCTGTGGCAAGTAAACACGTTCATTTTGTTTGTTTACAAACTGCTGTACAGAAATTTTTTTCTTATCGGAGAAAACCAAATTCGGCAGTTCACCACTTTTGGTCAAGCGAAGCAACTCTTTAGCTCTTTTGAGTCCATTTTCTTTCTGTTCGGAGTAAGTTCTTGCACTTTTTGGAATTTGCTTTTGGAGATGATGGCATAATTTTTAGGGGTTAAAATTGACCAAAAACCTTACTGATTTTGCAGTTGCTCTAAAGGTTGCAATTATAGACCAATCGACGCGGAAGTTATCGTGTGGCTAGAGCTCAGGGTGAGCAGAAGCCTTCCAATTCCGATGGTCATCGGGTAACAATTAGTGGGTGAAATAGACCATAACATTTGTTTTAAATAAAAGTCAAAGTTTCCATTAAACCGGGAATATTTTTAATCCCGGCGAAATCACAAATAGACGAACAGGTAAATTCCGGCACTTACATAAATACCGACAGTAAATATATCAGATATATATAGCGAAATATATACAATGTGTATATACAAAAGAAGGGGATCTTAGCTAGAATGCTTATATTTCAAGAATGGCTGGACTGATTTAAAAAATTCGTCAATTCGGAATGCCGAATGCAGAATGTCAATAAAAAAAATAAAATCTAAAAAAATCGCATAAAAAGATGCAAATAATGATGTTAATATAGATTTTGTAGTACTTTGTGACATTATTTTATTTTTCATATATTTTTTATCGCATGCGATATATTCAATTTGATTTATAATATTAAAGTGTATTTTTTGTAATATTTTTTCACCTTACAACACAGGTTGGGGTTATTATATACAGATTGCAATTATCGTCCGATCCTCACAAAAATTTTCATAAGGGCAGGGTTAGGCTCAGATGGGCTAGGCCTATTATTTTCAAAGATGTGCGCAATATATTTAGGGGTTGAAATGGACCGCTAACTAAAAATGTTCCTGATTTTGCAGCCGTTATAAAGGTCGCAAATAGAAACCATAGTACACGAAATCTCGCATGATATTAGAGTTTAGGACAGTGGTAGAAAAGAACACTACTTTTGTGTGAAAAAAAATACCAAATGAATTAAAAACAGAAAAAATTTCCTGATCGCACAATTGAAGACAATCGACACGCCTGAGAAGAGCCTTAAGGACAACGAAGAAGTCTAGCATTTTCGATAACCATTGGATAATATTTAGTTGTAAAATGAACCACAACAACTAACAGCACGACGGAGTGCATCAATATTGGGCAAATGTCCCTAGTCAGTGCTCCGTCACATAATTTCAAAAGCGAAATTGTCCAAAATAGATTTGGACATATGGGGGCTTGTAATATATTGTAGTGTTGTACGGTGTCACATGGTCGGCCCCGCACGGCTATAGACTTTGCTTACTTGTTTTTTTTTTTTTAATTTCCAAATTTCTTTCAAATTGTGGAGGCCCAAACATTTTTCTTTTGTACTTGTTCTTTTTAAATTGCCAGTTCCCCTTTGATTGAAATTTTATGAAAGAAACTACAGGTTTTCCCATTCTAAAAGCTTGAATTTAAAGTATTGAAAATTGTTACATTCCATTTCTTTAAAAACACACGCATGAATTCTCTCACACCCGGCTGCCAGTCCGTTTTATTGAAACCACCAACATTTTACAAAAATCGATTGTCTTTTATTTTGTTTAATTTTTTTCTTAAAAATGATTTTAACATTTAAAACTATAATTAAGATTGTTAAATCTATAACAAGGACATACAAATGTACAAAACTTAACTAATACTATATAACAAAATTACAAAAAAAAAAAAAACATATTAACAGAAATAAATTTTCTCACGATTTTTAGTTTGAAGACTGGGTCACAATTTCTTCCTCCACAAGGAACTGTTGAAAATTACAGACTCATTTTACAATACGGAGGAAGGCTATAAAACCGAATTTATGGAAAAAAGCCTTAACTAACAGGAATATTAACACATACATACATAGACAAAATTCTCTAAAAAAAAAAATAACAACTAATGTTGGGACTCCACAAATGTGGAGTTACGTTTTCCATTCGTCGAATGTTTTGGTTGGGCATCATTCCAGCTCTGGACTTCCACTTTGCCAAAGAGCACAAAGAGCAGATTGCCAATGAAATAGAAACCGGCAGCAATGAAGAATATGATGCGCCATTGTTCGGGATTTTTCTAAAAAAAAATGGACCATTTATTGGTAACTAATAATCATTTTAGGAGATATTCATTAACTCACCTCATCTGTCACAATAAAGCCCACAATCAGCGGGGCAATAATACTCATAATATTCGCCGCACAATTGGTAATGCCCATCAGAATGCCGGCAAAGTTTGGCGACAGATCAATGTGATTCACTTGGAAACCCAAATAGGTGGCACCATTAATGCCCACCGTGATGGTCAGCAGAATAATGGCCAAGTTGGTGTCATTTGCCGATACATAACCCAAACAAACCAAGGTAATCATCGGAATCCAATGGCCAATGGAGTTGAAGAGTTTACGACTCACCGACAGAGGGATGCATTCGCGTTTACTCAACTGGGATTGCAGGGCGGAAAAGACAAAACTCATCAAAAACATGGCAGCATAGGGTAGGGCGGAAAGCAAAGCATTGCTCTTTATGTCCATGCCGAGAATATTTTTCATATATGAGGGAATTTCTGTCAGCAATGTCCAGAAGCCCCAGTTATGGGTGCAATGGGTAAGAGTCAGTACCAAAAATGGCACCGAGGTAAAGAATTTCACCCATGGAGTTCTGGTTGGAGCCTTGGTCGTTTCATCTTCACTACTCGAACCCAGCGATGTTTCAATAAGTTTCTTTTCTTCCGGAGATATGTTGCGATACTCACTTGGCGAACTGGCACCCCAAATGAAAAATACCACCGACCACACCAGGCCCACACCGCCGGATATATAGAAAATACTTGGCCAGCCCATAACCGATGAGGCCATAACACCACTGGTGGCCAACATAACAACTGTGCCAAATTGTGTTCCGGAATAACTGTAGGTACCCAAAGTTCCTCGCTCTTCCACGGGAGCCCATTTGGAGAGTATGGTATGCGTGGAGGGGAATAGGAAACCTTGGCTCAAGCCCATCATAACACGTAAGGCACACACCAATTGCCAGTCGCCAAGGCGAGCACATATGGGTGTCAAGACGGTCAAAAGGGAACATATGAAGACACCACTAAGCAGCATGATTTTACCACCAAATTTCCTGGCCAATTGGCCAGCTGGAACCTGGGTAACAACATAGCCCCAAAAGAAACTGCTCAACAGCAAGGATTTGGTTTTCTCCGACCAATCGTATTCCTGGGAAAGAAAAAGAACAACCATTAATGACGTTTTTAATACATCCCTCATCATCCATTACTTACATCAAAGTCCGGATTTGTTGCATTCTTATCAGTCATTGCCACAATGGCCACGGACAGATTGACTCGCAGGGCATAGGCCACAGATAGACCACAAAATAGCAGGAAACATTGCAAATGTCTGATGCCAAACACGGAACCTGTAATGAATTGAGAAAATAGAAAATAAATGTGAGATAGTTAAGATTTTCAATACCGAAAAGCTGGCTAAAACTAGTTTAGACCAACTCAAGTAAGTCGCAAAATACAACAAAATGAAATTCACAACAACATCAGCTTAGAAAATTCCCCTTTTTGAATATTGTGTGAGTGTGTGGGTGTTTAAATTGCTAATTAATTGTTAATCTAATCTCGTAACATGTTTACATGTAATGCCACGTTTTGATTTTTCAACTGGGCTTTATTTAGAATGCTATCGACATTGAAATGTGTTAAATGTGTTAAATGTATATACATATGTATATACATATAGATTTGGCTGAAATTGTGACAAATTCGGTCTGTCTAACAAAGGCGTTGCATGGCGTTGGACTGGAACACATCTTTACAAAAAAAAACGATCTATACATAAGCTTTGTTCCTTTACTTTTTTATACCCTCCACCATAGTGTGGAGGTTATATTAAGTTTGTAACAGAATATATATACTTTGTATATATCCTTGATCAGCATAAAATTCTATGTCGATGTAGCGATGTCCGTCCGTCTATCCGTCTGTGGAAATCACTCTAGCTTCCGAACGAAATGAAGTAGTTTGATAAAATTTTACAGAAATGTATATTATGTCTGCATGACTTTTGGTATTGAAAATGGGCTATGTAAGGCCACGTATTGATATAGCCCCCATATAACGGTACCTCCCGTTGAATAATGATTTTAGCGACATTATTCACCGGAATCGTTTTAAATTTGGTATTTGAAGTATATGACAGAAGACTGTCTGTGGAGGACGGTATTTTAATGATTTTAGCGACACTATTTACCGGAATTATGTCAAATTTGGTATTTGAAGTTCGTAATGTACACTACAGCCTGTGACAGAAAATTGTCCGTGCAGGTCCAGGTTTTGGTATAGCCCCATATAATAGTTCCTCCCTATATTCAATATTTTGATGATGACGTTGTCGTATAGATCTTAATATATCGGCTACATTCGGTTTCTTTAAAAAAAAAATTGAAAATTGTCAAATTTGTTTTAAGTCGTGGAGGGTATTCAAAGTATTGATATAGCCCCCATAGAACGGTACCTCCAGATATACGGTATTTTAATGATTTTAGCGACACTATTTACCGGAATTATTTCAAATTTGGTATTTGAAGTTCGTAATGAACAGTACAGCCTATGACAGAAAATTGTCTGTGTAAGTTAACGTCTTCGTATAGCCCCCATACAGCGGTACCTGCCGAGATTCGGTATTTTGATGATTTTAGCGACATTATTCACCGTTTTTTTTTTTTTCAAATTTGGTATTAGAAGGTTGTAATACAGCCTAAGAGGGAAAATTGTGTGTGCAGGTCCCCGTCTTCGTATAGCCCCCATATAGCGGTACCTCCAGATATTCGGTATTTTGATTATTTTAGCGACACTATTTACCGGAATTGTTTCAAATTTGGTATTTGAAGTTCATAATGTACACTACAGCCTGTGACAGAAAATTGTCTGTGCAGGACCACGCCTTCTTATAGCCCTCATAGAGGGCTACCACCCGAGATTCAGTATTTTGATGATTTTAGCGATATTATTCATTATTCAAATTTGGTATTATATATCATATCATGTGGCTGTGGTATACTATAAACGTACGAAAAGGGCAAACTGCCACGAAATGTGCAGTTGGGTGTTGAGAGTGGAAATAGAATTCTGACATTTGGTATGGAGGTCAATGTGGTATATAGAGAACTACGCATTGTACGAAAAGTATGGTAGTAAATTTGAAATTGGGTCTTAGGATAGAGCTGGAATCCTGAAATTTGATATAGAGGCGCCTCTGTTGGTTTCTAGAATTGAGATAGGGTGGTGGCCAATTTTATTATGAAAAGACGTTGGCATAATTTTTGCCAGACGAATTGGATGTAAAACCATTGTCAAAAAATTGGTATTTGTGTGTCCTAATGGGTTCTAGCTCCGTTGCCGAAACATTGTATGTATAGGTTCAAGTTATTGTATAGCCCCATATAGCGGTACCTCCCTATATTCGATATCTTGATGATTTTTGCGACATTTTCCCACGAATATATCTAAAAATTGGTGTTTGTGGGTCACAATGGATTCTAATGTTTACTTTACCCTAAGGTGGAGGATATTAAAAGTTTGGCCCGGCGGAACTTAATGTTTTTTTTTTTACTTGTTTGGTTGTAACTTGTGGCAAAAACCCTGAAAATGCCGTCAATCTCAAAGTACCATTATATGGGGGCTACACCTAAACGTGGACCAATATAGCCCATTTTTCTTATACAGACAAACGGAAATGACTTGATTGATGACTTCAAATATCCCGAAATAAATTGCGTCCAAACATGTATGGTTTCCACGTGGCGCCATTTTCGCCCTCACAAATGTCATATACTCTCATTAGTCATATAGAGATGTAAGTCCATGTCCCATGGAGTACACTAACCTAGGATACCTTAGATTATGTTATATCCCAAACGAAACACCACACAATATATATTTTCAATACATACTACGCCTTTATTGCGGGAATCACCCGCAACTAATTCCTTCGTTATAAGGAGTGGCCAGTTCTCACACAGGCCCTTCACATCCAATTATAGATTCACTTTGTGTGGCCTCAATCATTCAGCAAACAAGCGAAAACTTAACAAAATTAATTTTATTTTTGTTTACCTTCATCTTCATAACGCCTATTTTTAACCATGTTGCTGTTGTTGTTTTTATTGGGATTTTATAAAATTCTTTGTTTATTGTAAATTATTTCAATATCACTTTTTGTTGTAATTTTCCAAATTGGGAAAAATCTTGTCACTTGTTTCGTTTTAAATGATTTACGTTGCTTCTTTCTTTGCGATCTCCGTCAAAATGCAATGCAACAATGATAACCGCTACTGACAAGGTCTGATCAAGAACTGATCAAATCGACGAGACGATTTGTAAACGGGACCAAGTGTTGGAAAGAAAAGCTCATCAAAGTACTGATACTCCCTTGGCTAAGTGTTAATAATTTTATATTTCGTTTCGTATATTTGTATACATCGACATAAGTCAATGCTTTGAAGTTTTTTTTTATAAGGAAACTAGCTGAACCCGGTGCGCTTCGCTACCCCTTTTGATTTTATATGCATTCAAAATTTTATTTACGAATATATGTTGGATAAAGAAAAACAAATTTAAAAATTAAAAAAAAAATATTGCACTAATTTAATGCGTTAATAAACAAAATCATTACAAAAGCAGTAACATGACATGAATACACGAAGGGTTTGTCCTTTGGATTTATTTATTTCATAGCAAATACCAAGCGTGCAGGAATCTGCAATTTTTTTAAGTAGAGTGGCATTTCTATTGCAATTAGTGAATTCGAGATAGCAACATACTTCGCCGTAATAAGCGTATTTCAAATAAATTGTTATGTTGTTTTTTAGTGTTAGCCTAAGGCGTTGTGGGTCAATGGTTCTTATTAAAATCATATCCCAATCTGATCCGACTTAAATATAATTTTAAAAAAATTTCTTTTACACCAAACTCCGCCACACCTTTCATATTTCATTGAAATTGGTGCGTCAAATATGTGAAATCCGCCGAGAATATATATATATATATATGGGAGCTATATCCAAATCTTAACTAATTTCCAATTAATTTATCACATTTATTATTATAACCAAATTCCGCCACACATTCTGAATTTCATTGGAATCGGTCATATATATCGTGTTTGGTGCATAATATGTATGAAATCGGCCGAAATATATATGTTAGCTATATCCAAACCTCAACTGATTTCAATATAATTTGGCAATTTTTGCTGGTGCCAGATTGTGTCCCTCTCGCTTTGGGTGCATCAAATATGTGAAATCGGCTGAGTATATATATGGGAGCTATAATCACATCTGAGCGTATTTGAATATAATTTGTCAAATTTATTTTTGTACCAAATTTAGCCACTCATGCCGAATTTCATTGGAATCGGAAATACGTATCGTGTTTTGTGCATCAAATATGTGAAATCGGCGGAAAATATATATGGGAGCTATATCCAAATCTGAACCGATTTTAATATAATTTGACTAATTTATTTTCTAATCAAAATCCCGTTACATATTCCAAATTTCTTTGGAATCGAACATACATATCGTGTATGGTGCATAAAATACATGAAATCGGTCGAAAATATATATGAGAGCTATATCCAAATCTGAACCGATTTTAATATAATTTGACAAATGTATATTTGTTTTAATTTTCGCTACACATTCCAAATTTCATTGAAATTAGAGATACATACAAATTAGAGATACAAAAATATATATGGGAGCTATATCCAAATCTGAACCGATTTCAATTTAATTTGACAAATTCATTTTGGCTCCTAATTCCGTTACTTATTTTAAATTTCATTACAATTGGAAATACATGTCGTGTTTGGTCCACCAAATACATGAAATCGGCCGAAAATGTATATGGGAGCTATATCCAAATCTGAACCGATTTCAATATAATTTGGGAAATCAATTTTTTAGATAAAATCTATCACACGTTTCGAATTTCATTAAAATTGGGGATACATAGCGTGTTTGGTGCATCAAATGCTTGAAATCGGCCGAAAATATATATGTGGGAGCTATATCCAAATCTGAACCGATTTCAATATAATTTGACAAATTTATTTTCTGATTAAATCCCGTCACACATTCCAAATTTCATTGGAATCGAACATTCATATTGTGTTTGAGGCATCAAATGAACGAAATCGGTCGAAAATATATGTGGGAGCTATATCCAAATCTGAACCGATTACAATATAATTTGGCAAACTTATTTTTGTTCCAAATTCCGTTACGTATTCCAAATTTGGAGACTGTATCTTCAACCAATCAATAGATATGTGCATATAAAATCTAAATTTTTGGGAGGTACCTCCGATTCTGATGCTATATCTCCAGTTCCAAGTAGAAATTCA